ACAAGTTAACCCTAATGGCGTCTCACTTTACAGTCCTCTATGTGGGGCATCAGCAAGGGCTTGCTGAGTTTAGGTCAAAGTGCTGGGAGGTTCACTCCTGCCTGGAGCCTCTGGGGAAGAAAGCCCTTGCTCACAGAAATTGTTGGCAAATTTTATTTCAATACTAATAAATTATTTCTAGGATAGACAGCATGTTTTACTCCTAGAAATAAGCACTCTGGGAAATGATTATAAACATGAAGGTAGAGAGGAGGAAAGATGTTATTTTACATGCTTTTGTATCCATAGCTAGTTCACGTTTGATCATCTATCTAATCCTAATGTACTATTCCAACTCCTAAAATAGAAAAACAAAGCAAAGTAGTCCTTGTCGGATGGCTTGTGGGAAAATATTACTTTATAAACTAAATTTGAGTAAAACTTTTCAAGCTTTAGAAAATTAGTCACCAGTACCTGAAGCCTACTCCTGCCAAATAATAGCTTAAAACAAAATTTTAAAGATGAAGTTTTAAGTCTTTAATAAATTTTCTTTAAAAAATAATGTAACTACTACTACAAATTCACATGATAGCCATTGCTAAAATATCTAGTACAATTATAAGACTGCATGTCACTGCTGTTTATCATAAAACGCATTCTTAATAATTCACATTTAATAGAATAATATGGATGTCCAAATTTTCCAGTAATTTTGATTCTGATTAGTGTACCTAAGAAACAGCTTCTTATGCTGCTCTATTATCAATTACTAATTATTTTTTCTTCACAGTTAACTCGGCTAGACAAAAATAAAATATTCTAACCAATTCTACCATGGGAGTATCCTGTTCTTTTGAGTCGAGACCTAATGGCTAGGAGCTGCTGATGTATTTTTTTTTTATTTATTACTAAGAAATTAGATAAAATGATCTATTTGTGTTTCCTTGGAAGGAGACTAAGGTTAAGAAAAAAGCAGGACAAACTTCTCAGTTTTTAATCTACTCCTTAAGGAAAATTCCCTCTCCAATACTAAATTAATCATTATTTCTAAAATAATTAAAATACATGGCAAATATCTCTTTTGCATATAAGAGGAAAAATATATTTGTGAGGTTTTTTTTTTCTTGGTTCCCTTGTAGGAAAAAACAGTTCTGACTACCCCATAGCTCATGATGTCAAAACTACTACATGTCAGTTTAAGAACAGCTGCTCATGAAGCTGTCTCTCCATCAAAATAGTTAATAAAATCTCTAAAAACAAACAAAAAGAAAAAAAAAAAAAACCCTAGGATATTTGCCCTGGAGTTCTACTCAAAATGGTTAAAGTATTTAAATAAATACTTCCAAAACCAAGTTTTGAACAAAAGAGTAACAAATAGTTTGTTTCAAAGCAAGTCATTACAGTAAAATCTCATCTTCAAGTGGATAAGTGTTCATACCATCTCAACAGCCTGGAAAGATCCTACTGACACAGCACAGCTGTACCTAGTGTCTCGTACTCAAGACCACACACTAATTCCTGTGGACTTCATCAGAGGGGGTGTCACTATGCTTACTTATTTACACAGGGGTCCGAGTGTGTTTGTTTTTGCCAGTACATAAAATTAAATTTCCTGTAAAATATTTACATGATGGTACCCCACTGGATTGGATTTCCTTGCTTTATTAGGAAAAAAGAGAAATCCAAGGGGTAAAATTTAAAGTTAAGAAAAAGTAACCTACGAACAAAATAGAAATGTCAAATATGTGTGCTCCAGAATTCATATGCAAGGAAAACGCTCTAAATTTTCCTATAGAAGCCACTCACCTTTACTCAAGCTATTCTAAAAAGGTCACTTATCTGGGTGCCACCCTTTTGAAAATTAAAAGCAAGAAAAAGAAAAAGTTGTAGGGAGAAAAAAGGAAAAAGCAAAATTGGATGATTTTAAAGTCAACTAAACTTTTTAGAGAAAAGTATAATGCCACGAAAAGGACGCTTCAATTTTTTTCTTTTAAATAAAATCTACGTTCATCTTCAAAGATCATTCCTTCAAAAATCTGAGACTATCAAGGTAAAAAAAAAAAGATAGAACTATGCCCACAAACTGAGCTTACTCAAAATACAGAAAAGCAAATCTTCCAAATAGAAACTTTCCACAGCTACACCAGCCATCATTATAACTGCAAATAAAGTACAAACAGAGCAGTCTGTCTTAATAAAATAGAAACAAAATACAATAAATCATCAGTCATGCTGGTAATAAATAAATAGAAATAACTAAAAGTAAGACAAAATGTAAAAAGTCAGCAAAAAGTAATAAGGGAGTAAACACAGAATGGACAGAAATGTAATTAAAAAGTAGAAAAACATTTTTAAAATTTTAATTCATATTCGTTAGAAGTTAAAAAGAATATACATGTGAAACAAGACTAGACAGTCATGAAGTTATATACTCTGAGTTGGGACATGGCTGTTCAAAAGTAACCCTACTTATTCCTAAATGTAAAGCTACAAGATAAGCCATCAAGAAGAGATTTTAAAGTACAAGAAATAAGATTCCCTAGAGAATGTCTTAGAGATATAATTGAGCCAAATTTTGATAGCTATGTGTTCCCAAATACAACTGATCCATTTTGTTCATAGATCCCTTATTTGTGTGTGTGCAGGCTCATCTAGAACCTCAAATCAACAATCCAGATGCTTCTATGTTCCTTCACTGAAGTAGTGTGGTACAAAATTCTGAGTTGTATAACATAAAAATGCCCCATAAAGGGGCCAGGGAGATAACTCAGTGGCCTAATGTCTCCCTGGCAAATGCAAGGTTCTGAGTTTGATCCTTGGTACCACAAAAAAAAAAAAATCAATAAAAAAATTAAAAAATTCCCCAGTAAGATTAAACAAAGTGGGACTCTGCCTTCATTTCAGCTGTCATACTAGAAATAAGCACTACTTTCATTGTCTTTTTAGCACTGTGATGTTCCCATTTGGGGGAATAATATACATTAAATCACATCAGTTTCATGGAAATAAATTAAAAACAAGGTTATATGTCGATCAGATAAGAAATGATTAGAGAAGCTACGTCCTTCATGGTTGTAACAATAACTAGATTGGTCTACTTTTATACTACTCATCCATTAATACTTTCAATCTTTATTAACTTTCACAAATATAAAACTCCTTTCAGATACAAATAGAACAGACTGTTTTCATATGTGTTTACTTATTCCTATGAAAGACAACAAATAGAGGAAAGTACTTTTCTATCATCTAGAAAAAAGCCACTATCTTTTAATCAAGAGCAAAGAGTTAATCAAACATCCTTTGAAATATAAGTGTATTAAATAATGATCCAAATGAACATTGAAAGGACACATTTCTCATTTATTCATATTTCCAAGTTTTACAGTCTTTTTCTTATTTTTTAAATTTTATTTTATGTATCTGGTACTGCTCGGACTCACAGTGAGTGATCTTTCTGTTTTCAGCCTCCTCAGTGTTGGGATTGCAGGTGTGTGCCACCATGCCCAGACTTGGTAGCCAGCTCAGCATCCCCAGGGGTGGGGCTGGAGTGGCATGTAGTGCTGGGGGTCGAACCTGCATTTGCCTAATTAGGTGCTTAGTCCAATGAGCTATCTTGCTGGCCCTTGTCTTTTTCTTTCAAGGGAGCTACAAATATGTCTGGGGTATGTATCCTTTCAAACACAGAGAAGATGAGTAGGACACAGGCAATGCCCTTTCTATTCACTTGGAACCTATTGTGATGGTTGGTACAGTGTAAATAGGTGGGGTAAGCTCAAGAAGCCAGGGGGTCCACATGATTTACATTGGAAAGAAAATAGGAATTAATGGTAGGATCCAGTCTGATGTACACTTTAAAATACTATTTCATATACTAAACTAAAACTTCACTAGGGAGACAGACAAGTATAGAAGCCACGTAGGACTACTAAAATGATCCATTTAAGTATAAAGTAAATATAGCATGTCAGATGTAAAAAGTGCAATGCAGAAAAATAAAATACAGCAGATTATTCATTAACATTTGTTGAGTACTTTTGGAAATTATAGTACATGCTTGGTCAAAAGACCTGATTTTGAACATTAAATGTACTGGACCTACCTGTAGTTCTTTGTATCTATCTTGAAAGGAAATGGCTTCTTGCTCTTTTTCTTTTAGAAAGTCTTTTTCTGAAATACCATGCTTTTCCATCAGTGATTCAACATCCTAAAAGAAAAATCCAAACACAAACTTGGTAACATTTCATTTGAAAAAACAAGTTTTTTCAATGAACATAGAAAGTATCCACCTATTAAACAACTCATAAGAAGCATGGTAAAACTCCTAACAATATTAAAAACTATATATTTCAACAATATCAAACATTGACATAACACTAAAACTATTCTAATGAATGAGTAAGAGCATCTCAACTAATTTCAATCAACAAAATCAAACTTTACAAACTTTCTATAAATTTGCTAGGATATGCTATATATGCACCTTAATTTACTACAATGTCTGTATGCAGATCTAAGTACTCTGATCAAACATTCCCAAATAATGCCCGTCTTTCCAAAGGTTAATGTTATACAACTTCAAAATTGTACAAGAAATACAATTCTGCCACCACTCAAAGTAAATAAATTGGAAAGAAAAAATATTAAAGAAAAACAAAAAATGAAAACACAAAAACCGTAGTATACAAGTCGCTCATCTCTTTAAAGTATATATAGATACCTCAAAATCCACAGGCCTTTGGTCAGGATTTGCTAACATTCAAATCCCTTATGTAAAATGGCAAACTATTTGCATATAAACTAAGCATATCCACCCATCTACATTAAATCACCTTTAAATTGGTACTTTTATAGAAAAATGACAAGAATCAAAGCTCTGTAAAAGCCAATACACAGGTTTGTTATCACCTCAAATATTTTGAACCCGAGATGCACAAGGATGTTTGTGGAACACATGAGTATGTGCTCATGAATATGTGACTGCCATATTTAAGATGAGAAATTTGCTATCAAAGACTTTACTAGTTAACATGCTGCTGTGACTCACTTAGATGTACTATATACCCAATGGAATAGAGTATCTTCTTACAGTTTTGGATTATATCAAATTTCCAGTATACACAATTCAAACATTTATTTGTTAGGTAAATGTTAACGTGCCTTTTTAATCCTCTGCTTTTCTTCTTCAGACATTTTGAGTTTCATCTCCAGATCTGAAACTTTTTGCTGAAGCTCTATGTTTGATACATTGCCTGCAGGATCTTCAGAATCATCCACAAGAGCAGCTGTTTCATTACTCATCTCATCCGATGAACCCAATGGAAAAAGTGGGATATCTAGATGAGTGTGTACTGACTGCTGAACCTGTGCTTTCGGAACACTTTGGCTTCCAATGCTGCTGTCTGCGTGCACATTGTCTGGTGAGGAAAGAATGGCATCAGGAGAAAGGCAGCCTGCTGAAGGAGATGAGTGGTCATGGTCCAAAACAAGCTCAGGAGACACTGGCGACAGGTGGACTCCGGATACTAAAGGACAACACAGAGGACAGGACAACTAAGGAAAACAAGATGGGTGAATGAAAGAAAGAAAGGCAATGCAAAGGGAAAAGGATAAAGGAAAAGGAATAAGACTGAAAATCAGCATGTCATGAATATGCCTTCAAGACCTTTATCTAAAATCTAAACCTAGTATTTCTAGGCTTTACAGGACACTTACATTTGACAACCAGTTCAGCAAACCAGTTTTGTAATGTTTTTATGTTTATATACTAAAATAGTACTATACAATCACATTTCTAACTCACAGAAAATATTCACATATTATACATTCATTCATTTAGTTCAGAAAAATATATTTAATTAAAAAAGAAAAACAGCATTAAAGTGCCTACTAGATCCAGGCACAGGCATAATGAGAGACACTGGTCAACAGGAAAGACCATTCCTGTACTTGGCCAGCAGCGAAATCAGCCAAGCAGACAGAACACAGTGACATTCTTTTAAGAAGGAAGAATAGATCTTATTCCTGTGTATTAATTCTTTGGTAACAAACAATTTGTCAGCTTAAAAATAGTCAATACTAGATTGTTTCTACAGAAAAATGTAGAAATATAATTTTGCAATAATAAGTTTAATAAAAAGGGGCCAGAGTAGAATAAGCACTTGCCTGGCAAGCACAGGGGCTTGAGTTCAATCCCTGCTTTGGAAAAAAAATAAATAAACCATCATAATACTATGATTAGGATTCAAATAGAAGTTCACAAAAGCAAAGTTAATTGCCAAGTATAAAAACACAGATGAGGTCAAAATCAACAGAGTATGTGTATATTACTTTATTTAAAAATATTCCTCTATTCAAATACATTCATACTAAGTTAAAATTTAAAAAGATGTGGTGGGTAGCACATACTGTAATCCCATCAGTACAGAAGGCTGAGGCAGGAGGATTGCAAGATCAAGCCAGACTGGGAAATGTAGCAATTTAGTATTATACTGTCTCAAAGAAACAGACAGACAGACACGCAGGCAGGCAGAGACAGAGACAGAAACAGAGAAAGAGACAAAGACAGAGACAGAAACAGAGACAGAGACAGAGACAGAGACAGAGACAGAGACAAACAGCAAGCACAGGGATGTAGCTTGGTATAAAATCCCGCTTGTGTTCCATCTTCAGTAACTTCCCATCCCCAGAAAAAAATGTAAGAGGAGTAACGTAAGTCATCTTTTAGCAATATTTTGTTTATACATTTTGACTTTCTGAATCTTAAAGACCTTTATTCCACATTGGCATCAGTGGCAATGTCAGTGAAGTTCTACCATAAATTCTGTGAAGGCAGCTCACAATGGGAATTGCACATTTCCCTGAGAAAAAACATTTAAAAGGCCATTAACGAATGAACAAACTAAAGAATATATTTATTTTTGACTGGTACTTTATATTATTCCTTAAATATCTTATGTATACTTTTATTACACAGCAAAACTACAATTTTGAATATTATATTTTATACCAGATAATTTATATTAGCTTAACAAAAGCCATTTTTAACTTAATTTAGAAAGCTGGAATTTTATTTATTTATCTTTTAATTTTATTTATTTATGTGGGGGGGGCAGCTCAGCCCACCAGGGGGCGGAGCTGGCTGGCATGTGGTGCTGGGGGATCGAACCACGGTCCCTGCGCCTTGCTAAGCTTGTTCTAAGTAGGTGCTTCAGACCACTGAGCCATCTCACCAGCCCTGGAATTTTAATTCATAGCTGTAGTTGATACATATTTTTCAGGTATTAATTTTTTTCTAGTTTTTCACTATTAAATGGTGAGGAAGTTCTCTAAAACATCAAAATATTTCAACTAAATTTTAATGCAGTTTAACAAAAATATCTTTAATGTGTTTTTAAAGATATGAAAATTAGTGTAATATAAACACAAGGGCAAGAAGAAAGAATAATGACTTGTGACTATCACATTTTCTCTTCATAACTGAATTCCTTGAATAGTTCATAGTTTAATTCTCCAGTTTCTTAACCTAATTCTTACCAGTACACGGGCTATTTTATTATTATTATTAAATCTCATAAAGATACCCATTCTTTTTCATTTCTTCAGGGCACAGGATAATGGTCCCCCACATTCCTTGAAGACTTTCTTTGGTTCTCATACCATGAGCACCTGGATTTCTTAACATTTTGACTATTTTCACCTTATTTCCTTTTCAGTCTCCTTCTTAACTGAAATATAAATTTTATTTCCTGTATTTTCTAAACTTAGTGTACACAGTTTTCTAGGATACCACTTTCAAATCCTATTCGATTATCACATAAGATTATTACACTCTGACACTTAGCTGTAGTTCAAATTGCCCTGCTGTTTTCCACATTCATATGCTTACCTCTTTTCCAGACAGATCCATTTAGATGTCCAACAGGTACATGAAACTTAACTATTGCTTTATATATGCCAGCTTTGCTGCATGTTTTCCTTCTCTGCTAACAGTACCTGAAACAGCAACTATATGCTACTACTGTTCCAACCTCACTCTAGTTGCCTGTGACCTCACAATGTTGCTTCCTCACAATGTTGCTACCTCTGTGACTTCACAGGACCTCACAATGTTGCTACCTCTATGACTTCACAATGCTACTGCCTAAGAAAAGCCATAGGCCCTGAGTCTAATTTTAACAATAACAACCCCCTCCCTATGCAGATTTGAGTAAATTACATTAAAAAAGTTAACCCATAGTTTCTCTTCTGAACATGGGGACATAATACATATCCCAAAAATATTACAGAGCTTAAATGCAGTTAATCAACTTGACTCAGTGATGATTATGGAGCAGATATTCAATAAGTGGAAACTGCCACTTAAGTTATCATTTTGTAATATTTGAAATAAGCTTTCCCAGTAATCTACCCAAACGGCCTAACCAACAGTAATATAATTTTAATTTTCCATAGATCTGTGAAATAGTTGTATGAAAGAGAAATTATAGAACTCCTATAAACTAATAAAATTTCTACACATCAGAACCTATGACAAAGCAGTAGTTAGAAAACTTGTATTCTTGAGTACTTCAATAAAAATCAATGAATTAAATGCTCAGCTCAGAGACCGAATATGGTAGCACACCTCTCTAATCACAGTGCTTGAGAGGCTGAAAACAGGACTGAGTCCGATATGTGTAGTAAGACCCTGTAGACCCTGTATTAAATACATAAAAAATTAAAAACTAAAAAAAAAAAAAAAAAGCTCAACTCAAACAAAAACCAAGAAAGTTTTAAAGTGGAAATAATAAAGATAATGAACATTAAAGCACATTCATAAGTACATTTAATCAAAAACCCTAGATTTCAAAAAATATAAACAGTAGTTTATTTTAAAATAAAAAAGCTGGGTATAGATATAGCTCAATGGCATAAGTGCCTGCCTCAAAAGTGCAAAGTCCTGTTTGATTCCCAGTACCAAAAAATGAAATGAAGGAAAAAAATGTACAAATATATAAAGGTAAATAATTAGAACACAGTTGTTAAAAGAGAAAAGATAAAAATTAGAAAAATGATTGATTCTCTATAGAAATATAATTTGTGTAAGTTATTTCTTAGTACATTAGAAACTCATGATAATAGATTTTTCTAGGAAAACAACTAAATTACTAGACAAATATCCCACAAAGTATGCAATTATTTCAAGAGAATTTCTACCATAGATTCAAAAGCTGCTTCATCTCAATACTTTAAAACTGAAATGTGAGAGCACAGTAAGTAAAGGAAAACTGCATGAACATTAGCATAACATTTACAGCTAAACTTGAATAACAAAAAATGGAAAAATTTGAGATTTCAAGGTTAGAATATCACATAAAAATGAAGTAAAACTTCTAAATAAAGTATTCAGCTCCACATGGCAATAAAACTGATATAATGAAAAAGCAGGATTTATTCCAAGAACACAAGCCAATTTCACAAGTAGAGAATTCAAAAGAATAATACAATATTCCATAAAGAAAAAAATTATTGTCAAGACACTAATAAAAGTGAATAACCATTTCCGTTTAGAAAAGAATTTAAGAAAGTAGGTATCTTCTTAACATAATTAAACATCCCACTTCACTCCTAAATCTACATTGTAATAGAGAAAATGTGAAGGATTTTTCATCAAAATAAGAAATAAAACAAGAATGCCTACTGTTTATGCTAAAGGCATGAACCAAGCCAATCAAATAACAACATAAAAATAGAAAAACAGAACCAATGTTCCTATCTGGGAATACAAGGCACAATTAATTCAAATATCAAAAACATTCAATAACATAGGACAATATACACTTATCAATAGCATTCCCATGTAAAAATAACCATTTAGAAAACATAATGGTGGAAAAACACTTTTTAAATATAACAAAAATATTGCAGAATTTAGCAAAAAATATGAAGAGAAATCTAAGTCTTGAAAAACAAAAATAGACCTAAGAACATACTAAGTGTAAATGAAGAGAAAAACTAAAACATCACAAAGATTTCATTCTTAAGTTCATTTTTAGATGCATACAATCTCAATAAAGATATCCATAAGCTTTTCATACAAAGAACTTAGACAAATGGACATTTAATGTCAAATGGAAGAAGCAAAGCTGCAAAAATAGGGAGACATTAAAAAGAAGAGGGGCTGGGGATGGCTCAGTAGAATAAGCGCTTGCCTGGCAAGCACAAGGGCCTGAGTTCAGTCCCCAGTTCCACCAAAAAAAAAAAAAAAGAAGAAGAAGAGCAAAAAATGGAATACTGGCCCTTTCTGACAGTATACTAAATTCAGCTGGAATAATACATATTACTATCCTTATTAAAAACTATTAGAAAATAAAATTTCTTCAAATAAAACAATATAAATATAGTACTCAGTGTCACAAAAAGAGATAAACAGGAAATCACAGAAAGCCTAGAAAGATTCAATTACGTGGCAAAGCAAGTAACTTAATTTTGTACCATATAAAAAATAAACTCCAAATAAGATCAAGGCTCTAAACATTTAAAA